CATATATACTAGAAATGGAAAAAAAATAGCTCTATAAATTTTAATTTTTAATTTTCTTTTGGTGGAGACATGAAGATTAATCTGTTCTGTCTTATTTTCTCTAGGTTTGGCTAAATAGATGAAGAAATAAGCTCAGAGCAATTATAGGAAGTGATCATTTAGTTGACATGGCCCCAGGAAGGCATTGGCATTTTAAATAACATAATAACCAATAAATAGAGTGCTGATATGTATGCCAAAAATGTTATTCTTATTTTCAAATGATTTGATTATAATAATATAAAAAAAAACCCTACTTAATACCATAATTATATCAACCTAATTGAATCTTGTTTCGATTGACAATATGGAGTACCTGACAGATAGCAAATACTTACTAGAGTTCTGTAAAATTAAAATTACTTTAAACAGGTATTTTAGTATCAAGCATGAAGGTTCTTGGGGTAGTTATTATAAATGTAAGTTATTATAACACCTTTTATTCATATGGCATTTTCAACTTTCATAATGCTTTATTAACAAGTTTTTTTTTATTCGATGCTTTCTCTAACTTCATTGGGTAGGCAAAGCAAATATTATTATCCTTATTTCAGAAATGAAATAGGTTGTATAGCTAGTAAGTGACAAACTCAGAAGTTTAATCCTAATCTCTTGACTCCCACTGCTCTGATCCCTATATTGCTCTTATCATTTAATATTTGGTATCAAGTAATATGCTAGATATCAAAGTTTATTGCATTAAGCATTTTAAAAATCATCTATCCCTACAAAACCTTTTAAAATCATACTTCTAGAAATACACAGGTACTTTAAGAACTGGAACATATATAAATCCTTCTATGGAATGATCATGACTACTCCAGGCATACTTTAATAGTATGGATTATGAAATATTTGTTAAGAAAACAAACCAAAAAGGGAGGCTACAAAAATATATAGAGACCATTCTTCCTATTAAAGTTCAGCTTAGAAAAGTTAGCTAAGAGGGAACTGTTTTCTTTTTACCTGTGCCAAATATTGCAGAATATATATTTTCAGAAAACCTCTCCAGTTAGTCTTTATAACTTCAACTGGAAGAGTCTCAAATGAAAAGGTCATTTCTTATAATTCATGAGCCTTTGTCCATTATTAGGTTGTAAATTTCTTGATGGTAAGGACATTGTACTGTACATATTTGTGCATTCTTCAATTTTTTATTCATAGTAAGAGCTCAAACATTTGTGGAAATTTTGGCTTAACTTACTTTTAATTCTTTGCCTTTGATGGTTTTAACCCACCTTCACAAAACCTAAAAAAAAAAAAATGAGGATATTTTGTGACTTTCTTATCAATTTCCACATCACTATCGAAATTTCTAAAATGTAAGCTAATAATGTTTATTTCCTATTTAAAAGCCTCCTCTTTTGTGAGATAAGGAGCAGAGAGGAAAGGGAACCTTTTGTTTTTATGTTATGAACCTTTGACATGTATGAATTTGTTTCAATGAGTATGTATTATCTTGTAGTGAGAGAGCAAAAATGTACCCAAATCTAACATAGGAAAAAAGAAAAGAAAACAAAGATCTCAGTCCAAATTGTCCATGGGATAATTTTAAAGCCTTAGTCTGGTAGATAGGGTCTTTAACCTGAGACTTTCAACATCTTCATTAAACTTCATCTCCCACCTACACCTCTATGCCTTACACACATATGCACACACACCTCTACTCTCCAGTGAAATAGAACTATCCTTTATAAAGACACCCTGATTTTCCCCTCCAACTTCCTTATTTGTGTACGCTTTGCTCATTCTATAAAGCCTTGTTCTCCCTCTTGTTTCTAGTGAGATTCGTTCAAGATCCAGCTCAAAACACACTTTTTCAGTGCATAGCAGAATTAGTGCTCTTTCCTCTGTATACAACAGTGCTATGTTACACAACAGCTTCTTCCATTAAATTGTGGTCAGATCAAAAACCATGAGTCATACTTTAGACATCTTCTCAGTCTGGAAGAAATTAACACAATTGGTTTTTCTAGCTCCAGGTAGTTTGACAAATAAAAGGTATTTTTTCTTTGTAGCTGTTTAAAGCTTTTGTTCTTTTGAATTTCACATTGACAAATAGTGCTTGGTCTTGGGGATATAGATGAGCAATTGAGAAGGAGAAAAAATAAGAAGAGGCCATAATATACAAATAAACACCCTTATCTGGGTAATGATGATTTACTGTCAATAAATCAGTTGCTGTGGAAAACATTTTTGTAACAGGCACAATGTTTGGCTATGCTGTTAAGGGTAAAGGTGTAGACAATTCTATCTCTGCACCCAGATTAAGTGTTTGTGTTGGGGAATGGGGTATGGAGGATGTAGGACATCTACCTGGGGAAAGATACCCACATACCACAAGGCAGTGTATAATGGTAAAATATATTAGACTGTTAAAGGAAGCAAGGGGTGGCCAGTGAAGACTAGAAGAGGTAGAATTTAAGGCTGCACAGGATTTGGATTGATTATAGAAATGGCTAGGCAGATAATCCCAGAATTGGTGTACATGCTGCTAGATAATACATGGGTTCTACAGGTAAGTGACTGTTAATGGACATACAACTGTCATTTAAAAATATCATAGAATCTGAAAGGGGGCGTACCATTAACAAACAAAAGGAAATCCCCAAGAGATAAAAAGGTAAGTTTGGGGGTGAGTGAAGCAGTGAGGGAATTGGGAGTGAGATCAAGGGAACTGGTGAAACAGAATTATGATCCAAATGGTCCTTGCAATTTTTCTTGAGTTTTCTCCTCCTTTTAAAGATTATCTTGCTTAGTTCTCTGCTATCATAATCTTGTTTGGCACCTCACCACTGCATTGGGGACACTGGCATGCTGTGGGGGAAAGGGTACAGGCTTTGGAGACCAAACAGACCTCCACCACTTACTAGCTTTGTGACTTTGAGCAAGTGAACTAGCCTTGCTTGAAATCTGCTCATTGTTAAAATAGGAGCAAACATACCTACTTTACTGGGCTGTTCTGAGGAATAATGAGATAATGTGTATAACATGCCTGACACTGCAGCTGGAATATATTAGTGGGTCAGTGAATAGTAAATTGCTCACCTATTTCCTTCTATAGTTATGATTATGTATTTAATTTTTCGTCTAACTAAGAGACAGGGTCTCCTTCAAGTGACCTCAGAAAGAGACTCCTAAAGGAGAATTGAAATCATAGAGGAATGCATTAGAGTCTGCTCTGATTGCTCTTTATATCTCACCTGGAGATCCCAGCCCCTTTACCGCCCCCACTCTGTAGTGTGTGTGTGTGTGTGTGTGTGTGTGTGTGTGTGTGTGTGTGTGTGTGTATGTGTCTGAGATTTAAATCGGGACACTACACTAGCCCCTCTAAATTCCATAAGAACCTACCTTCCTTTCCTTGACTTGGCTCTCCCTGTGTTTCGTACAAGCAGCATGGCTAGCAGAGTAGGGCAACTGTATATGTAGGAGAGGTACAGTTGGCTACTAATGATCTGCATGTGTTAAAAGCTGATTTCTGCCACCCCATTTGTGTGCACTGGCAAGAGCAGATTAACAGGCATAAGCTCTAGGACAAATTTCCCTGGTGAAAAAAAAATATTGTCATTTTATTTCAAAGCTTGGTCACTGAGTTGTGTAATTACCTTCTCCAGTGTCTTTCTTTATTTGGTTAACTTATAAATTCCAAGATGTTTGCTGTCAAAACTGTTCAATGTCTTTGTTTGTGCTCCTTTTATTTTTGTAGGAATTTACCCCTCTCCTCACCCCTGCCCTTAGTGCCCCCTAGCCTTCTTCTGAACCCTTTCCAACCTCCTACCAATCTCTCCCAAACCCTCTTCTCAGCCTTCCCTCTACTCTTCCTCAAAACCTTTCATACTTCACTCAATCTCCCTCTGCTCCAACCATTCTCCAAATCTCTCCATCTCCCCATACTGCATCATCCAATGACTTCTCACTATTCCTGGAATATTCAGGATCCTACCCAAACTTTTAGCCTTTTCCAACCCCTTCTCTCCCTCCCAACTTACTTGTCACTTATGTTCTTCCCTCAGCTAAGCCAAGAAATAATTCAAACACCAGTAGAAATTGCCAATGTTTATTGATTTTTTTAAAAAAAAAATCACTCGCAAATTTACTTTCCTTATTGAAAATATGTTGCAATTTTTTTGATAGAGAAAATCTTAATAAGGAAAAAAGTCTGTCTAACAACTACACTTTTTCAATATTAGTTTCTAACATCTATTCTCATGCATATTGTTAGTATAAATTATAATTAAAACAGCCCCCATTAATTCAGGGTTTAAAGAAAGGGGCATACAGGGTTGGTAAAAAAAAGGCAACTCAAAGTTGTTAGGTTAAGTCCATGATCTTAGAGGAAGGGTCACTGTACAAGTAGCCTTAGTTCATTGCCAGAGATTCAGAGGAAAATTCTGGAAGCAGCAAATGCAGATGACAGCTGAGATAACAGAAGACAGGTTGCCAGGAGCAGTCACTAAGACACAGCATCTACCCAGCAATTATTTCATCATGACATCTTCTATTCCACCTGTGTCTGAAGCAATTGTAGTGACAATAACGAGATAGAAAAGACACAGTGCAGGTACTCCACTCGATGTTTGGGTCATGTGTTTCAAGCCAGTGGATTCCAAGAATCAGAGGGTATGGTGGTACATGAATAATATCAAACTGGAGCTCTTAAACGTGGTTTCCAATTTTAACTTCGACAGATGGTGTCTCCTTGGTTATGGGTCTATTAATCAGTGGATGGCCATTTACTGTTTCAAGCATCAAAGGGAAGATATTATTACGGATGGGCAGCTTCTCTCGAAGAACCACAGAATGGTCAATACTGTTTCTGTAGGAGCCTGAATCCACCATTGCTTGCTCAAAGAACTGTCATTTTCCCAGTCGAATTTCAACAGTAAGCCATAGGGTATGGGACATGGATATTGGAAGCGAGGGGGATGCATATTTGTAGATTGGCCCACCCAGGTTCCCCCTTACCGCCGGGCCTCGATGTTTTCCACCTGCTGGGCGCGATGAGGCTTCACAGGACAATCTCTGGCAAAATGGCCAGGATGACCACAGTAGAGGCACAAATGGCCTTCATGACGGCAGGCCCATTCAGCTTCACTGAGGTGTGGGCAATTGCTTGCAGCCTGCAGAGGCTGTTTTTCAGCTGGAAAACCCACAGGCCCAGCTCGCTCCTTAGAGGGACTTGCCCCTTGTGGATTTGGATCAGGCTTACTACTTAGGTTCTTTTCTAGGCTGATGCACTGGGTGATCAGATCGGATAGTTTGGTAGCTGGGTTTGTGTAAGACAGTTCATCTCGGATAGAACTGGCAAACCCTTCCTGAAATTGGATGCAGAAAGTGCTTTCATCCCAGTTTAGCTCTTGAGCAATGAAGTGGAAGTGAGTCACATACTGGTGGACCTGGTCCTCTCCTTGGCAGAGCTGATGGATGTAGTGGTTGGCATCTTCCGTATTTTCTGGATTGTCAAAAGTATCCTGAAGCACTTGTATGAAACTTTCAAATCGCTCCAGCAGGGGGCTTTATGTAGCTACTAAGGGCTGGAACCATCTTCCTGCCTCACCTGAGAAGCGATTGCCAACAAAGCTCACCAAGGCTGCTTCAGTGGGATACAGGTACCCACTGACTCTCATGTAACTATTCAATTGAACCAGGAGTTCAGGAAACTTCTGGGCATCCCCATTGAAGGCTAAAGGGTATTCTAAGGGGAAAGTTTCAGTCTCCAACCCACTGGGAAACTGTGGGAACTCTGAAGCTGCTGATGTCTCAAAAGCTATTAGGCCTTCCAGGGACTCTTGGGGTGCTGAGAGCTCTAGGAACTCCTGGGCATCTGAAGGATCCAAGGACTCCTGGGGAACTCGAGACTCCGGAGCTTCCTGGATAGCTAGAAGCTTAAGGGGCTCCAAGTGTGTTGAGGTCTCCTGGCATTCTGGTGCCTCCTGGAGCTCCTGGGTATTTGGGGGATCCTGGAGCTCTGAATTCTGGGGCCCTTGGGTATCAGGGGATTTCTGGCCCTCCTTGATTTCTGGGGGCTTGTTAGCCTCCTGGGCCACTGGGGGCTTCTGGGGCTCCTTAGCCTCTGGAGGCTTATGGGACTCCCAGGCTGCTGATAACCCATGAACCATTGGATGTACCTGGGGCTCCTGGGTCGCTGGGAGCTCCAGAAACTCTGGGGCTGCTTGGGGCTCCAAGGACTTCTGGGTCTCCTGGGCCATTGAGGTCACCTGGGGCTCCTGGGCTGCTGGAGGCCCCAAAGCTGAGAGCTCCTGGGGCTCTCTGAGCTTCTGGGGCTCTTCAAACTCCAGGGGATCCACGGGCTCTGGGGATTTGGAGGGATCCTGAGCCTCTGAGGGTTTTTGGAGTGGTTCATCCTCCTTGGATGCTCGGGGCTTTTGGAACTCGGGATCTGGGCCTGCAGGGCAGCATTTTCTTCCATCAGCCTCTGCACTTGGGCCTGCAGAATTTCATTCTCCAATTTCAGAGCACTATAGGAAGCTGCTAAGACCTCCACCATCTTTTGAGGAAATGGGCTTGGTTTGGCAGTTTTCTGCCAAGAGAGATTGAATGGGTTTTGTGAGGTCTTTCCAAAAGCTCCTCACAGGCAAATGTTAGACTTCTTGAGCTTTCCAGGAGGTGGAGATTTAGGCCCTGGCAAGGTTGATTACAGAGGTCACTGGGAGCCTCCGGAGATCAACAAAAGGAGATGTCAGATACACTGTGAAGAGAGTGGAATCTGAGGATCAGAAACAGTAGAAAGCACTCATTCAAAATAAATAAGAACAGAACCTACCCAATAGTGCTGGATTTCTCTTACTATAGGGTCATATTCATGAGTTGGGTCATATATGCTGGCTCTCACTCCATGACATTTTGTGAACATCATCTGACCCAGACTGTGTATGTAATTTTGCATTCTTCTTTTGAAACTTAACATTATATTAGAAGCAATTTCTCCATATTTTTTTTCTGTTTTACATAGTCTTTAATTTCTGTCTGCCTAATATCTCAATGTAACACTTGGATTTTAACAGCTGCTTTCAATGACTAACTCAAATGTTTGAGCAATGTGGGGCATTTAGGCTCTGTGGTGGGCCAGTCTAAAAGATATTTTTGGGTGGCTAGGGTAGGAGGTAGGGGGGAGCTCTTTCTGACACCTCAGAAATCAGACCACATAAATAACCACACAAGACCAGCCTCAGAAGAAAACAAGCAAAAGTTGACTAAATATATATGTGTATATGTGCACAGCAGACACATGTATTTTATTTATAAAATGGCTCAAAATAGTTAAGAGAATAATCTTTATAAATGTACATTACCATTCAGAGACTTAGTCCAGGAGATCGGCTGTCTGCGTACTCATCGCTGAGGAGGGAAGTGTGTGAATGGCTATGGAGGCTTGCCTTTTCTCCACATACTGAATTCAAACAAACACACCCACTCCCAGAACATATTCCAACTCTCCTCTGTAACGTAGCTATTTTGAGTGTGGAAGAGTTTTTTTTTTTTTTTGACAGTACGTCACAGTTTAGAGCTGCAAGGAAAGTAGGATGCTGCACTGATATGAGGTAGCCTCATGTACTCAGTCCTTGGTTACATTAATAAATATTTGGACAGGAAATTGGGAGTAATACCACTGCCCTTGTGAAAAGTTGCAAACATTTCTGAATGACCACAGTGGTTTGGGACTTTATTTTTTATGCCTGTCTCATGTAACTTCCCCTCACTCTATCCACAATGGGTTGTTTGTTTAATTCTCACTCAGAGAGCAGCCTGCAGCTCCTCAGCCCCTTCCCCTGCCCACCTACTCAGTTCCTTGGGTTCCTCCATGCAATTTTTACTTGGAAACTTTACCATGGACAGATCTAGGCAAGGTATAATAGGGTAAGACTGTGGAGGGGGCCAACTTTGTTGAAGGGTACTTGTAGCAGCCTTGCAGGGTTCCTGGCTCCTTCTAAATGTCTTGGCACAAGATTCTCATCCTTCCTTGAGCCAGCCACTCAGGCGCTCTAGGCAGCACTCAGGTTGCCACTAAGGGATGGCCACTTGAGCAGTATTCTTGCTCAGGATCTTACCTTCTCTTCTTATGACAAATCAGTCACATCCTGGGTATGGGCCATGTGGTAAGGATCAGGGGCACCGATTTTAATCCTAGTAAGGAGTGGGATTGTGTATTGTCTTTGGCCACTTCAAATCAGACATTGAGTCAGTTATGATCCCAAGTCTCCTTTAAAAATGGTCATTTCCACATTAGTCAGCATAATGGGATAAACCCTGTTGATGGAATATGCCTAAACCACAGCAAATTGACAGACCGAACTAACTAAAGCTGAATGCAGAGGCTTTGAGACGTATAATATTTTACAAATCAAGTTATATTCCTTTCCTCCCTTTTAATGTTTTATTCTTTATAAAGACACTATGCATAAAAATACCACCATTATCAGGGAATAACATGTTCATATGTATGTAAATTTTTCAGATAATTGAAGCCTTCCCTTTGAGAATCCAAAACTCAGTTGATATTTACCTTAACAGTTAAAAACATCAGAGAAATATTTATAGCATGCATTACATTTCTTTTTCCATTCTTAAGTAGATGGTTGTGAATGTAATTTAATCAGTTTTTAATGTTTTGGGGTCATACATATACAAACCAATCCCTTTAATGTGTTGTAACACCGTGTTGTCTTCTGAAAGCTACTGAGCTATATAAAGTGGCCTGTCTCCAAATTACATACCTCCAAATCACTATGCTTTCCAACTCCTTATAATTTACTTTTCCATTGTATTTTTCTACTCTTTTGCTATCAGGCTGTCATATAGCCCTTCACACTGTATGCCTGTCTGTACTAAGTATAGACAAATTTGACAAATTATTTAGTCCTTCTAAAACTTAGTCTAAAACTCAGTTTATGAAACTGTAAAATTGAGCTATTAATTATACTTAACTTTATAGAGTTATTGCAAAGATTTAATGAAATAATGCATGCAAAAGGCTTAGCACGGTGTCTAGCAGCTCGTAGTACCCAATAAAGGTTACTACTACTACAACTACTAATAATGAGCTGTGGCCATACCAAACTCACTTTAATTTATTTTTTTTAATTGTCTGTGAATTGGGAAACTGGATAGATAAGTTTGCTAGAATGTGTAGAGACTCAGGAGAGTCTCTTGTATGAAGAAATCTACAGTGCATGGATTTTATGGCATTAATTTTTCACCACTCAGGGGATTTTTTTCCCTTCCTGACTGAGTTATGGATGATTTTGTTTACCAAATAATGCTTTAGATTCAAAACTGGGGACACTTGAACAGGAAGATGGGATGAATAATGGGATTGTGGAAAAGCCAAGATGTTTAAAAAAGTCCATGGACTAAAGCAATGAATGGTGCCTTGCTTACAGGTATATCTATCCAGAAGGTAAACACAGGAAACTTTTTCTCCCCTCCCACCCCTGCAAAAGAGCAAAGACCAAATTCAACATTTATAAGTACAAGTTCCAAACTGCCTAAACATAGAGAATTATTTTCTTTTGAGTGGAAATAAAGAGCTACCTGAGTTTTTCTGTCAAAATACCTAAAATAGTTTTAATATCCTGAATTAGTCAAGTAAGAATAGGAAAGTAATTACATCCACACTCTCATCATGTTTGCTCTACACGTTAATCTTTCTTCTTACACTCACAATACAATGAAATGCATGGAGCCTTTAGAATGGTTATGAAAACATTTTAAGTAAATGAGGTTTTGTTAACTGGACAAATAAACTTTTAGAGGAAAAAGAAGACATATATGTTCATTTAATAGCTATGAAAAAGGCTGCATAGTTATGCTCAGTTATGTTAAGTTACACTTGTTGATTGTTAGCTTAGGGAGAAAGGGAAGGGAAAGGTTGAATAAGGTGAAATACTACTTTGTAAATTCCAGAAAGAATCATAATTTTATTTTGTCAACAAATGTATAATCTGAAACATTTTAGGTCTCTGCTGGGATCTTCCTTCCCAAAGCTGCTTGGGTTGCATCTTCAAGAACTTGCAGCACTTTCTTAAGTTTAACCCATAATGTGCTTGGTAAGATTGAAACTTTTCATTGTCATCAACGCCATACTGAACTGGGATAACATGAGTTACCAATTCCATTAAAAGTTGGAAAGATTTCCAAGAATTCTCCTTATTCATATGACTGGGCTCCAGAGTACCTGGTAATGGAATAGAAATGGGGTCTACCCCAGTACGACACTGAAGGAGATAAAATTTGTCACCCTTTAATCTTCCTTTATGACATTTACCATCTTCTCATTTTATTTCTTGTCCTATGCATACTTAGAAGGTATTTCCCCTTGATCAACTGTCACTTTGGAAAAATGAATCCCTATTGAGATACTACCTCTTAGAGTTCTAAAAGGAACTTTCTTGGGGTGTTTGCATTTTCATAGGATATTCTGAAATGCTGTAACCCCTTTAAGATGCTTCTGTGGGGAGAGAGATTCTGGGAAAGAGATACAATTTTGACACCCTTCAGATCACACCATTCAGATGGTCCAATATTTTGTTTCCTTATTAGGCTGGCCCAGTATAGCTTCTAGAGTTAGCAGATTTGCTTCATAATTTCAATGCTCTGGCTTCATCGAACCATGGTGCTGACCAGGCTGCTCTAAGGGCCTAAGCAAGCATCATCACAACCTAACAGGGAAATAGGGAGTCTTTGCTATAATCCCACTCTTAGAGGATGCATGTTTTTAAGATATCTAGACCACTCCTCTACTTCCTGGTCTCCTACCCTCTGGGTCCTACCCTCTTGGTCCAAGATGATGGAATCAGCATGGCAGAAGAGAGAGAGAGACAGAAGGAGAGGGAGAAGGAGATGGAGAAAGAGAAGGAGAAGAAGTGGGAGAGGGAGGGAGGAAGGAGAGTGGAGGGATGGGAAAGAGAGAAAGAAAGATAGTTTCAAAAAATCTAGAAAGAAACTTAAAAACTCAGCACACATACATTTTGGTCAGTTAAATATATAATTTAATTTTATGGTTTAGCATTTTAAATATCACATGATAGAAGACTGTCTTTTAATGCTTAGGCTTACCTCTGAAGGTATTAATCAGGCAATGAAGGTGGTATTTTCTTTATAGGTTGCAGACTGCTAAAGGGGGTGGTGGTAGATGCTCTATGGGACTAGAAAGGAAGGTTGGAGTGTACTGATGGGAGATGAAGCAGTGAATGGGGTGCTGACAAGAGGGAATGCCCAGCTCTGCCAACTTCACATTTTTGCTGTGTGGTACAATTGAGATAGTAGTTGTGAAAGTGCCTTGAAAAATGTGCTAATGGAAAAAGTGCAGGCCTTGAAATAAGTCTGGCGTAGGTTCAATTTTCAGCTCTGCTCTTTACTAGTCGTGTGATCTTTGCCAATTAAATTCTCTGAGGCTCGTTTTCCTCACCTGGAAAGTAAAGGATACTAATAGGTCATCACTGAGTTGCTGTGAGGATTAGAAATAATGTTAATACTTAACAATAGGCA